ATGATTAATGTTGGGGAAGAATATGAATAATTTGAAATTTAAAACTGATGGACTTCAGAAAATAATTTTATTAAAACGAAAAATGCGCTGGGTCATTAAAAAATAAATGAAAGAAATACCTGGAAAAATGCTTGTCTCTCCTTCAATTTCTTCAATTTAGAATTATCGTTGAAGGAATAAAGGGATCGAGTAGATATTATTCTGTTCCTTCCTCGTAGAAATGCATGGGAGATCCTCATAAAATTCGACATTTTTTCATTAACTAAAATCCGGCAGCCGTCAGAGTTTGAGAAAAACTCTTTTCATTGGCAAATCAACAATTTAACAAAAGAACCCCCCAATACTCGTGTTCTAAAACGAAACTCACGTGAAAACAAATTTTTATTGAAATAACTGAACAGCAAATATTTAGAATAAGATGTAATAAAGACACCTAAAAAATGAATAAATTTGATTAAAAAAAAAAATTGAAGCCGAGAAAATTCAAATATCTCAATAGGATAATTAAAGTGAAAGAGTGAGAATTAATTAATTTTTTCATTGTAGTATTTTCCATAGGATATATAAATATAGAAATAGTTCAATAAAATCTTTTGAATGCCAATAGAAAGTTCAAAAAATCTACTAGACATTTGTATGAAATCTGAATTAAGGCCCGGATGGAGGGAATTTTTTCGCGATTGACAACTTTACGCCCTCCTACTCCGCGGACAAAACCCGAACCTTGATCTCAAGCGACGCCTTGTCGCTAACTACGGCAATCGCTGGAAACAAGGACAACATCAGACAGTGGGGCTTTCGAGGGCGCCGACAAATTTTTTCATTTTTCTTTTTTTAATTCGAAAAGTGCATGGAGATATTCCAGATGCCACTAAGGTGGAATGCGAGATTTATAGCTGAACAGTGCGGCGAGGCAGAGTGCTTCCGATATATAGGGAAGGGTATAGGTGCAATTTTTTGTCGATTTAGAAGAACTCGATTTTCTCGCTTCCTATGGGTCGTAGCGCAGAAATCCGGCCAGATTCGTGAATGGCGCGACGAGACGCATCGATTTCACTTATAGTGAAGTCGATTTGAGCG